AAAAAAAAAAAAAAAAAAAAAAAGAATACAACGTTTCCCCTCTTTCCTTACAGCTCAAATTCTTGTCATTTTCTTATCAGCAATTGCATCTTAGATTTCATCACAGATGGTGCTTTAAGAATAACAAAAAAACAAAGTAGCCCATTTCTTAGAAATAATTTCTATACCCGTTATTTCTACAACAAAGTGCCCATTTATTCCCAGAACTTCTCTTGCATCCTTCTTGACTCTGAAGCTACACACATGCAGCGATTTTCACTGCAGCAGTCAGGAAGGTTAACTGCAAACATCTAGTAATCTATACTGAATAAGATGCATCTTTATTTTCTGTGTCAAATTGTTCACATATTTAATATCTCCAAAACTACACACAATGCATGTCTTTAGTACTTTTATATTTAATGTGTTATCTACAATGTGCTGCTTTATGAATCTTTCATATTGCTTCAATCTTGAAGTACGTTGCCAAATACACTGCTATAAAATTCCAGGGCAAGGACCAAATTCTGCGTGTGTGAGTGCATGTGAAAGACAGAAACAGAGAGAAAGTGAGAGAGAGACAGATCTAGAAAGTTCTTTGTAAAGACCTCCATACACTTTGCTAAGTGCTTTATATATTTACAGAAGTCTTGTTAACCCCACTGTAAAGCCAAGCAAAGGGATACCTAATTTGGAAGTACAGGCATTGATCTTGTTAGTGGTGGCACAAAAATAATCCAGGAGGTAGAAAGAATACTAAAAACATATATGAAAAAAAATTATCATTGGATGCCTAGCAAATACCAAAAACACAAAAGAAAATACCAAAAACACGTAAGAAAAAAATTTATCATTAGATGCCTAAAAAATTAGCAAAAACACAGAGGAAAAAAATTTATCATTAGATGTTTCTTTTATATAAAGACTGTTAATAAGTTGTACACACGAGGATGTTAAAGTAAAATGTTGTCTCTATTTTATATGTAATTATAAGAAAATTAAGGCCAAATTCTCAAAATATTTAAGAAGAAGCATGTAACTAATGGAATGCTTTGGGACCAACACTGACCTTATCAATAATTTAATCATTTTATCACAGTTGGATTTAGTTCTCATATATATTCACAACACACAAATTTCCTGTGCTATTTTGGGCTTTCTTCATTGAGCTTAAAAGCCAAGGAAAAAGGCAGCTCTTTACAGAATGAGTTAGTAATAGAAATTATTTTAGTAAGCTTTTATATTCTTGGAAAGAAAAACTTACCCTAAGAAAGGAGGTCTTGTAAAGAAGTCACTCCTAAAATTAACATGCTTTTATTGTAGTTAAAAACATTTAGCGAGAGTTTAATTTACACTTAAGGGTAGTATTCAACCTTTTCCCCTTAAAAATAACTTCAGTTTAATTGCCTGATACTATTAATCTTGCTTTATGGATGTTACACCTGCAGACTGCCATGCTCATAACCATATATATTTTATCACTTGTGATAATACAATAATTCATATTTTACCAGATCTACTTAGTAATTAAGATCTACACAAACAGAAAAGAATATCCGAGGTATTAAATTTAATAATAAACCACCCAAAGAGAGGACAAGTCTCTATGTTTGCATTTATACCATTATTCTCTATTTTAAATTTCTGTGTAATTAAGCTGCTGTTCCCAGGGGATCAGTAACTACTGTTGGTGTTATTGCTTGGTGAATGACCCATGGAAACACCAAGAGAAATTCATTTTTACCCATCAGTTTATGAAAAGAACCAATTTGACTGAGGTTTAAATAAACATAGCCTTAATCCAACCTGGCTGTAGTGGGTTGCATATGGAGAAAGAAAATTAAATCCTAGGTCTTCACTTCCCTATTCTTTTCCGTTAATGGCTCTTTAGTGAGATATGGGTACAGTAACCTTACAAGAACAAGTAATGTAGAAATGCTATATTCAATTTAATTTAACAAACATTATAAGGGCATCTTGAGTAACCTGTGATCAAGAAACGATACTACTAGGTGAGCATTCTTACATAAAAGAACAATGTTAGATTTTTGTTCAATGATATCAATTTTGTGTTTTGCTTTCTGTTCACTTGTATTTTTCAAAGCTAACAATTCATTTTTAAACTATATCTGTTATGGAATAAACACAGAATCCAAGTTCTATATTAGTAGTCAAGAAAAATAAAAGCAAGCCAAAAATGTTTATCTGTGTGTTTGGGTACTTTTTTTTACTGATTTTAGGCCCTTATATTGGGTTTCTTTGTATGTAGTTCTTTTGAAATTAATACACCTTGAGTTTTCCTTTATATCAACTCTGTGAAAACAGTCTTAAAATTGCAACTAACCACTGGATTTATTATACTTAGGGTCACAAGGCATTCTCATATTTAATTTGAACTTCTTCAGAAAACAAAGTCACTAAAAGATGGGAGCCAAAAATAAATAATTTTACTCCAATTTTATACTTATTAGTCTTCTAAGGGTTCTGCAGAATATCATATTATGGTCATCTTCTATACCCAACATTTTTATGATCTTATATTCGTGGAAAAGCATAGATATACAAGGCTCTATTTCCATTCAGACTATTTTTGCGTATTACAGTTGTTCTGACAAAACAGCTTCAAACACTTGCCAAAGAGAATAAATTACATTAGGAATGAGTGGTATTTATTAGGAACTTATTTTTGGAATAAGAAACCTTCCTTAATAAAGGGCTATGTACTGCCCTCTGAAAGGAAGAAAGCATTTTCCCCGAAGTCAAAAATATACTTTTAACAGTTCATGTCCATATTCTGTGGGGGTTAAATTAGGTTAACATGTGTTCCCAAAAACGCAAATTCAAGCTGGGTTCAATCCATGGATTACCAGGAACACTTAGAAAGCAAATTGGAATTCTTTAGACACAGTAATTCAAAGTTTCTGTTCTTTCTCTTTTTGAAGCAGAGTTTGATGGCTTAAAGGATTCAAATATATGCTCAAAGCATTCAGATCCCAAATATTTTTTAAAAGACCTAATTGAAATAGTTGACTAGATAAAAAATTAAACAGGTAAGCATCCTCCATTATTGGATGACCATAATATGATATGTTTTTGATGCTTGAACA